ACTTGCCTGCACATACAGGAGGCAAATATATACATACAATTGATTTCTGCATATGCAAAAAAAGGAACACAAATAGCTAAAAAGTTCTTTGCCACAACCTCTATCTACCTCTTAAATATATTTGGTGTGAAGTGATTTATTGGGAGAAGGCTGTTATATTACATTAAATTTACTTAAACTACAGGAAATTGCATTAGTAGCATTATACTCAAGGTCTCAGTTCCACATGGCTTCGTTCAGCAACAGATTCCTTTCTGACACTGATGCTCCATTTACTCTACCCCAGCGGCCATTCCTTTTGCTAGCCTATTACTTAAAATGACCCCATCTGACAAGAGCGTGTCATTGTGTTGGTTTGAGAATGACTGATGTGGTGCTAACATCTAGCCTTGACCTCTCCCACCCTCTTCTTTTGTCACTCCCCAGTTATCTGGGATGCCTCCCATTCAATCCATAAAACCTTAGTATCTTCCTTGTGAGTCAATAATTCCAAACAAAAGATTCCTTAATTAAGAAGTAAGAGTGTAAGTATTCAGAGTGGTATTTATGCCACAGTGGTTGTCCAAGAGCACAGGGATGCATTCCACTTAATTCTTTCCTGTGGTAGACAGAAAAAGATCGACTGTGCCTCCCTTTGGAGACTGTCCACGCTGCTGTGGAATATTCTAGATTATTTCTCATTGTGTACACAGAAAGGTGGAAGGGGGAGAGGCGGATGCAATGTCCAAGCTACAGCTAAAGAGCCTGTGGCAGACCAAGGTATGAAACATTTCACTGATGGATGTCACATTTGAGGTTGCACGCAGAAACTTGTGCACAGTATTTCATAGCCTCACTCGCACATACCCACCTTCTCCACCAGGTCCTTCAGTTTGGTAACTTCTTCTCCCAGCTTTTCAACACTGCAAACCAAGTCTTTGCAGACTTCAATAAAACTTTCAGTCGGTGCCCACTGCAGTACTATCTGTTAATAGTTACAGTTATTTGCCAGAATTACTGTAGATTATAATTTCATATTCTTTAGTTAACGTATCATAAAAGACAGTGTCAGAAAAAGTTTATAACTGCATTTATGCTGGGTTTTCATTATATGATTTATGCACAACATGATCTACTACTCTCTATCAGCCTTTGTGGGAACCTTTTGTCACTTTAACTCCCCTATCAGCAGAAACACTAAGAAATAGATCTATCTCCTTTATTTGAGTGGCTTAACTCTTTGAAATAAATTATTTTAAAAAGTGTCCTTTAGAGAAAGAACATTGGACAGCTCTATATAACTGCACGATAATCAAGACAGTTGATGAGTATTCATATTTTTCATTTAACAAGGTAGGATAATATTCTAGAATAGAATAATATTGGATATCAGGAAAAATTTCTTTACTGAAAGAGCAGTTAAACATTGGAACAGGCTGCCCTGGGAAGTGGTTGAGTCACCATCCCTGGAAGTATTTAAAAGACGTGTAGATGCGGCACTTAGGGACATGGTTTAGTGGACATGGTGGTGTTGGGTCAACGGTTGGACTTGATGATCTTAGAGGTCTTTTCCAACCTTAATGATTCTATGATTCTAATATACTCTACATCAATCTTTTTTTCTTTGGTTGAATACCTTGTGAGAATTTTTGAGGAAATGCTTATTCATGGTCTGCACAGGAACAGTCAGCTTACTACACTCTTTATTCAACTTCTGAAGAAACTTGAGAAATTCATCTTCGCTATAAAAATAAAACGATATTCTGTTATTTGTTAAAGGCTGTAACTTTTTGCAAGCTAAATAGTATCTATGCATTTCCAACATTGGCTAGTGAGTGAACCAGACATGCAGTTTCATTGCGTTTCATTCATTAAAAAAAAAATCCAGTGTCATTTTAACACAGGGTAGTTAAACACTACATTTAACATCTTAGCAGGTTTTTGGCATTTGGTTTCCCCTCTGGCCCCGCCTTTGGAAGGACAACAAATCATTAAGTTATCTGGAATATTCAGCTAGTAAGGCACACTGAAAGCTGAAAAAGCGTCACCCAAAAGCTTTTCGGAAACATTCTATTAACCTCCACTTCTGTTTCTAACTCTCATCAATCCTGTATTATCAATGAAAACATTTCATTACCTGCTGCATGAAAAATTTTGTAACGCACTAGGCATAATAACTGCAACGCTGTTTTCCTGTGCATGTGTGCATACAGATCACAGTCTTGCAACACCAGAAACAGAGAATTTATAGTAAATTTTATGCTGACATATCAATATTCCTATTCCCACAGCTTACATTTTTGAGGAAGATGTGGGGGGGAAAAAAGATCTGGTTTGTACTTTGGAGCTTGGACTGAAATGACTACGTTAGAGTCATTTCATCTCCAGCATAGTGGAAAAAAGAAGAATCCAATGACACTGACTTGACCCCTGGATCTGGAAATACATTCCTCAAAGCTTAAAATACCCGATGTTATCTACTTTGAAGAAATTTATACTTAGTGCTAAAATACAAGCAGGAAGACAAGTCTGAAAATTAGATCAGTATCTCCAAAGAGTGGAGAAAAGGATAGAAAAAATCAACAGACTAATTTCAACGCTAAGTTTCTAGAGCTTCCACGTGACACTGACTCAACTTATTTCACTGTAAGCCTCAGAGAGTGTCAGTTATAAGTCACCGTGCTGGCCAGAAAGTTGTTGCCATAGGCAGAGGAAAGGGGGGCAAGGAAGGAGATCATCCATTTGTTTTTACAGCGTGAGCTCTCAAACCCTGTAATGCCTGAGAAGTGCCTATATCTCCAGTAAAGTTTCCACTAGCTCTAAGCCATTCAGATGAATAACAAGCAGGGCCAAAACAAGAGACAATTTTAAGTTCCTATTGCAGGACTTCCCGTTATATGTACTGGAGGATCTGAATAAATTAGTTCAGACCCCTCTTCTTTTCCCTAGGGCAATCTGCTACTAAACCTAAATGCAACATACTCACACCACCTTACTTGCCGCTGCTTCTGGTGGCAAAAAGGTATACATGAAATTTGCCAAACAGCTAAAGTAAGCTACACGCCAGTGAGGTGCAAGTATCTAAACAGAGACTGAATCTTCAACTTTGGCACAAGATCATTAGTGAGCAAAGTTTCCACCGCTGCTCAGAACATCTGTGATTTGCAACACTGCTTAACTGTTAAGACTTTAACACTTAAAACAGAAATATATAGAAGCATCAGTAGGGATGCTGGAGGTTAAAAACCAAGACTGTTCATGGTTTTTTATGAAGATGGGGAAGTAAGAAAGCCTATTAGCTTGTTTTTATAAAATAAATTATTACTTATTTCAGAACAATATAACTGAACTGAATATTGAGAGTAAAAAACCCAAACACTAAACAAAATAATCACATCTGGAGATAGTCTGGAAGTTTCTCCCATGTTACTACAGTCAAGCCATGCTCATAAAAATTTCCTTTTACTTAGAAAGATAACTTTTTAGCTGGCTAGGATCAGTTATGGCACCTTCTGTGTTTTGTCACAAAGGAAATTATTTTTAGGAATTCTGGAAGGATTCTCAGCAAAAATAAAGTATGTCATGGGCATGAAATGGGGAGAAAAAAAAAGGAAAAGAAAAACATTTATACTTCTCATGCTTCTTTATTATACCAATAATAGGTCTTAAAAACCATTTTAATGGAATTTTATATCTGTTGCAGTAACATGTTCTTATATTTGTAAATGGAAATAACATTTTCAAAAAAGAATCGCTTTTTAAAAGAATTAATGGCTGTCAAAACACCAGTGGCTAAACAGTGCTAGACACTCTGTGAGTTTATAATCAATCAGTTCAACATTTTCTGCTATGTTAGTTTTTCTATGACTTAATGACTGATTTTGCTTCTCACAGAATGACTTTGAACAAGTGGGAAGTAAAATCTTCATATAATAGCATGTAAACATAGCCTACGATTTTAGTCTCAAGGTCAGATTCCTAGAATGCATGTCAAGCCATTTTCTAGAAAACGATGCAGTGCTTGCTGTAACCGAAATGCTGTCATATTTTGTGTACTTCAATCTTTAATCAATCAATTATTTTCTGGTTTTGAGAACTATGTATGATCTAAAACCATACTGTACTAGGAATTCCATATGTCACTGGTGTGTGAGACTGCACCGGACATCATGTGGGTTTTTTATTGTATTTGGCCACACATGCAGTGTGAACTGTTAACTTTTTGTATTTCTCCACTTATTCCCTCTGTTCAAATTTTTAAGCAGTTCTGCTTAAATGTATATACTAAACACCACTACGGACCAATCTCAAAAAAGCATACATTTCTAGCACAAAAATGCATGAAGCTTAAACTGGGCAAAGTCCTCTTAAACGGCAGCTAATTATCCCTTGCTGAAGAGTCAACATCGTTTTCTAAAGGTGCCTAACTTGGACAGCTAGACACCCAGATGCCTGGCCTACCACCTCAGCTCAGCAGCAAAGCCTCTATTTTAATAGGAACAGCTCAGGTGCTGTCGGACTATTTATGGTGTATCCATATCGTACTGGTTTGTACCCTCCTGTGAGCTGGAACTTTAGTTCTTCAGTCTTACAGCACACATACTAGTTTGCACCTGGATTCTCTTCTGGAAGTACACAGGTACTTGTTTTGATGGAGAAATCTCCTCAAAGACTAGAAGCAGCATCAAGGTCCTCTGTTAGGACACGAACACCCTGCTCTCCCAGCCCACCTCAGTCTTTCAAGAGGCTCCCCAAATGCCTTGCATGTCCCCCCACATCCTACAGCTCAAACCTGGCATCATGCTGCAAAAATGTACCTCAAGCAGGCTGCAAAGCCTCTTTAGAATAAACACAGTAATGGATACAGATACAGGCACAGTGCCAGCATCAAAAGCAATCAGTATACCTAAGAATGACTAGACGGGAGCCGAGTACATACTAGACAGAGTCATGTAACCAAGGCACAAAAGACAATGCCATGGCAAGACCACATCATGAAATGACTGCTAATACACAGTGTCAGTGTGATTCAGCTGCCTCCAAAGGATGGTATACAGAATGAACTTGAACCCAAGCACATGTTGGTCGAATGAACAACATAACTAACAAAGAGTCTAGCCATAGAGTGCCCAAATAATGCAGCCAGCTCCCCCAATATTTTGGGGAGGGAAGAAATATCTAACAGAGTAGCAGCACAGCTGTCAGGTTACTGGTCATAGGGAGATTCACACACTTTAAAGAGGAACTGAACCCTTATTTTCTAGACAGTAGAAAGTTATTTTGAGTAGATCAGATGCAAGGAGGAATTTTTTCCCCAGTGCTACTCTAGCCAGGCCACTGCAAACAAAGCAACACAATGCTATGCAAATGGTGGTGGGACTGGGAAGAGAGAAACAAGCACAGAGAATCTAACATACTAGTGATGCAGCTACAGCATGAGGAAGGAGCAGTATCTCCAAACCAGTCTTCTCTAAGTTAAACACAGTTCAACTGACTAAAGCCTCTGAAAGGCAGGCCACGGTTTTCTGCCCGAGTTCATTTCTAAAACATTTATAAATTAAAATATCAAACTAATCCTATTTTCAGGAGCAATTCTTCTATAGTTCTGGGAAGTAAAAAGAGGAAAGATATGAGCACAGAATCTAAATTCAAGTCTATGTCTCTCTTCTGGAAAAAATGGTATTTACACAGTAAAATAGAGGATAAGAGGTTTAAGAAATCTTAAGACACCTTTGCACTTACTATAGCCTTCATTCTTCTTTTTGTGCTGGATGTAGAGAGTGCTCTACCAGTGCTTAGGGGACTGATGAAGTTTAATAAGGTTGCTGAGGGATGTTCCTCTCAGCTCAGGCCTGGCTTTCATGGGACTGCACAAGACTATACTAGAAGTATGAGAGGTATTGCAGAGGCGATGCTTAAGGCTGTAAGAAAGAACCTATAATGGGAAAAATATCAAGTTGGAATGCAAGTTTGAAGGAGTAATACTTTCTTAAAAAACAGTTTCCTTATAAACCTATTTCTACTGATACATATATTCTATGATAAGGAAAATATCTTACGAAGTTCTTAATTTGTAACACACACAAAAAAAAGAGGTCTTTTAGAAGCCAGTTAAAACTGCTTCCAGTGGAAGAGAAAAATCAAGGAAAAAATCCTGAATCTATACAGAAGTCACATTTATGATTTAAGATAGACATGTACGAGTAATTAATTTATCAGTTGAAAATTAAAGCCCTATGCAGAAACTATATGCATCTCTCCCTCCCACACATGTTTTTATTGCATCTTACAATCAGACAAATTTGATTGCAAGACTAACAGAGCCTGCCTTGTCTACAGACACAATGGAGAATTACAGAGAGTACATCATGTGGGGTTTTTGTAAG